TGTGGAGGTCAGAGGTGACATTGGGTGTCTTCCTCATCACCCTGAACCTTACTCACTGATCCCGGTTCTGATAGTCTGGTACCCATCTTGCCCTGTGTGCTGGATTACAGTGGACCACCATGGCAGCTTCGTGTTTACATAAGTGCCGGGGATCCAAACTCCAATGTCAAGAAGAGGAATTTGAGTGTCCCCACAATGTCCCCAAAGCTTAATTCACGCTTCTTTGTGGCCAGTTCTTCCCCAGTCCCTCTGTCTCCTGCTTTCTTTACACAGACAAGCTCCACCTGTCTTTGTTTTCCTGAATTGCTGGAGATTGAACCCAGGGCCTTGCACAGTGCTCTCCTGCTGAGCCCTGCCCCAGCCATTTGTAACGTCTCTCTTTGCACACAGAGTGTGCTCACCCAGGTCTGGTTCTTTCTCCTGATATTATGTTTATGAGGTGTATCTCATTGTTGGGCATAGCTATGATCTCTTCACACTGTTGTAGAATATCTCATTGTGTGCCTAGGCAGTTATCTATTCTGTGGCTGTGCACATCTTTTGGATGTGTGTGGGATTCTGAATCCCGGGGAGTGCGATGGTCAATGGTGATTATCAAGTTAGCACAAACTAGAATCACTTGGGAAGAGATTTTAGTGAGGGACAGTCTAGATCAGACGGGCCTGTGGGCATGTCTGTGGGAGTATTTTTTTCTTTCTTTCTTCAGAGCTGAGGACCGAACCCAGGGCCTTGCACTTGCTAGCTAAGTGCTCTACCACTGAGCTAAATCCCCAGCTCCTTGCGGGGGTGGGGGGTAGGGTGGGGTGTATCTTGATTATCTTAGTTGGTTTGGGAAGATCCACTGTGGGTGACATCCTTCCTGGGTTTCATGCCTGGGACTGTATGTAAGAATAGAGAAAGCTGGCTGAGTTCAAGCACACATGCATTTCTTGCCTCTCTGCTGCCTCCAGTTCCTGCCCAGACTTGTTCCAGTGATGGACTGGGACCTGGAATTATAAGACAAACTGTTTCTCTCCTAAACTGCTTTCTGACAGGGTGGTTTTTTTTTTTTTTTTTAAATCACAACACCAGGAATCAAAGTATAGCAGGGAGCAGATGCTGAGCTGTGGCAGGGGCCAGCCAAGGGCAGCTTCCCAGAGGTGTGTGTTGGTGGACTGTCAGCCCAGCAGCTCTGAGCACCTGCCCAGAGCATCTCCATCCTTTCTGTCTTGATCATTCTGGTGGGAGTAACAGAGGAGGCCTGCTCTCAGGGCCAGACTCTAGCACGGGGATGTTGAGGTTTCATTTCTCTGGCCAAATGGGAAATCAAAGAGTTACAGCATTTGAAGGAGAAATCAAAGGCAGAGGGAGGGATGAGGAGACCATACACGTTTCTTAGCTTGTGCACCACTGTCAGGAGAACCTGTGACTATACTTTGCTAGAAGACCTGTTAGGGGGAGTGGCCCTGGAGAGACGGCTCAGTGGTTAAGAGCACTTGCTGCTCTGCCAGAGGACAAGAGCCCTGTTCTCAGATCTATGTCACCCACACCAGGCAGCTCACAACCACCTGCAATTCCAGCTGCAATGGCTCTGATGCCCCCTTCTGGCCTCTGTGTGTACCTGCACACACACACACATACACACACACAAGATTAAAGAATTCCTATGATTCTGAAGATCTCACCAGTAGTGGGGAAGTAGAAATTTACTGTACTTTTTTCCTTTTAGTGTTCAAAAGTGTTTTAATTTGATTATTAAAAAACAAAACACGCCTATTATACAATTTCAAATAATACAGTACAGTGGGGTCCTGAGCTGTTTCTCCGAACATCATGGATGGTGGGTGACACAATGCCAGGGCTCTTAAAAGAAGCTGAACTAAAGAACGGATTTTCTTAGGGGAAGAGGGAAGGAGTGATGGTCGAGGCTGCCCAGTGGAAAAGGCCCTGCCTCAAGGTACTCCAGGCTGGGAAGAGGGAGAACCCCATGTTATGGGAATTCTCTTGGCTCTGTTTCCTGGATCAGAGTGGTAAAGTTTGAGCCAGCTTTAGGGAGACTCTTAATTCTTGGCAGAAAGGAGCTCTGGGAATCCCTGACGGATCGGGAATTATTTCAATCAGTTCTGGCTCTGGTCACTAGGTGGAGCCAGTGCTCCCTCGCTGTGGCCTGTGTAGGCATCGCAGGCCCTGGCTTAGGTCTCTCTGACTCTAGCTCACGTTTTATGTGCATAGATCCCACTGCTTGTTTTCATGTGTTAACTGCAAAGTGTCATTCGAAACCATGTCGACTTTTTGGCTAACCTGGTTCCTGAAAGCTCTGTGGGCTCAGAGGGACCTGGTCTTCCCGGGGTTCATCTGATTTGGGAGTCTCAGGCTGTAGTCTGAGAGAATTGGGGGTTGGGGAGGGAGGGAAGTTGCCAGCCACCCTCACTGAGTTCTCAGTATGACTGGGCGGGGGTGGGGAGGACATGAACCTTAGGGGCTGGCATCTTTACCGATGGAGGACATGAACAGAGATGCCCAGGACTCTCTTTGCCACTGCAGCACTGGGAACGTCCGTTGAGGAAGGCTCTTTTGTGAGGCCTGAGTTGGTCAGGGAGGCTTCCTGGAGGAGGTGGACTAAGGGTTGCCACATCAGTTTTATGCTCTGCCTACAACACTGGGGCACCACAGGGCGGGGCAGAGTTAGGCCCAGAGTCCTGTGGGTGGCTCTAGTCTGTCACTCTTCACTTGAGGGTGTTCTCGGGGCTTCCTACAGTCCCAAGTGGGCTCTGGCAGCCCCAAACATCCAAGTCTTGGGTCCATTAGTGCTTGAGTTTAGAACAGGAATGGAATTCTGGGAACATTTCCCAGATCCAAATAAGCAGAGACTCTGGAACATACATTTATTTCCAGGAAAGAACCAAGATAGTTTAGTTTATGGCTCATAGCAAGACTCCTGGAATGTTCTTCCTTTTTCCCTTCCTTCCCCTCCCCTCCCCTCCCCTTCCGTTCCCTTCCCTTTCTCATGACCCTCCTTGTTCCCCTCAAAGCCCCTCTCCCCCACAGCACTCTGTCCAGGCTTGGTAGTATTGTCTCTCTGTACCTCAGCTTTCCTCTCTCCAGTGGTCCTGGAATAAAGTTCTCACCCCATCCTTAGTGGCTTCCCCTGGGGTGGATGGAGAATGCAGGGAAGCCGAACCACAGGTGCGGCCTTTCAGGCATCCTCAGGTGATGCGGTGGGGGTGAAATGTCCGCTGCTCATCTCTCTGTGCTGCGTTCAGATTCCAAGTTTGATCTCACAGAGGCTGAGTCTGCTGTGCTCAGCGACTTAGCTCCAGTGAGGATTCCCTGGTCCCTTCTGAAGCCCTGGTGACTGATCCTCACCATCCTGCTCAATCCCTGTTGTCCCCTCACTGCCTCTTAAAGAAAAGAGAGGAAGGGACTGGGGAGGTAGCTCAGTGGTTAGAAGTGCAGACCGCTGTTGTTGAGGATGAGAGTTCGGTTCCCAGCACACTGGTTGGTTAAAGCGCACAGCTGCCTGTTCCAGGGAAATCAGCACATGATCACTCCTCCTCTCCATGGATATCCTTACAACACACACACAGACACACACAGACATACACACAGACATACAGACACACACACAGAGACACACACAGAGACACACACACAGACATACACACAGACACACACACAGACACACAGACACATACACACACACACAAATCTTTTAAAAGGAAGGGAGGGCTGGAGAGATGGCCCAGCAACCCAGAGAGCTTACAGATGTCT